CTCATCAAGGCTGCATTTATTTGATCAAAAATACAGAAAAAAACAGTAATCTTGCAAAATGTTATTACAATATAAAATAATGGTTTCTATTTTAATATCCTTTAAAATATAATTTATTTTTTTGATGCAAAGCTGAATTTCCATCATCATTACTCCAGTATAAAGCGTCACATGATCTTCAGAAATCATTCTAATATGCTGAAGACTGGAGTAATGATGCTGAAAATTCAGTTTTGATCACAGAAATCAATTAGATTTTAATGTACATTAAAAGAAAAAAACTTTATTTTATATCATAATAATATTTCACAATATTGCATTTTTTCCTATATTTTTGATCAAATAAATGCAGCCGTGATGAGCAGAAGAAACTCCTTTAAAAAAACGTTCTGATTCCAAACTTTTGACCTGTAGTGTATATATACTGTATGTATATATATATATATATATATATATATATATATATATTTAATATGTGTGTATATATATATATATATATATATATATATATATATATATATATATATATATATATATATATATATATAATAGACATTGTTTCTTCAGGTTAAATGTGCTTGATTGTCCTAAAAATAAGCTTTAGCTCTTTGAGGTTTTTGTGCACTCAACTGTCTGCAGTCTATTGGTAGTTAAAGTTCAACTCTGCTCAACTTTGTCCCATCACCGACTCTTCCTGAAAGGAATCAGCGCTGGTTGTGTTGATCACAGACTGTAAACCAGCTCAGACTCTATCAGACGTACCTACAGTGCTGAAGGTGACGAATCTGTTCTCCCGGGGTCTGATGCTGCCGTTGTAGGGCCGGTTTCCCCACATGTGCGCGGCGCTGTTCACCAGCCAGGTGGCGTTGAGCACAAGTGCGTATCGGAGGAGAGCAGGGACGAAATACGCCACCCACAGAGACTCGCCCCACACCAACCACGGCACGAGCGTCGGCACGGAGAAGCACATCAGCAGCACAGACGACTTGTAGAACCTGACACAGTTCAATCAGACCCAGTTAAACAGTGTATTCAGGCCAAAACTGCCATTCTGACTGACATCTGTGACTCTGCAGCACAAAAGCAGTGTTAAGTCGCTGGGGGATATTTGTAGCAATGACCAACAATACATTGTATGGGTCACAATTATACATTTCTCTTTTATGCCAAAAATCATTAGGACATTAAGTAAAGATCATGTTCCATGAAGATATTTTGTAAATTCTGTACCTAAAACTTAATTTTTGATTAGTAATATGCATTGCTAAGAACTTCATTTGAACAACTTTAAAGATGATTTTCTCAATATTCAGATTTTTTTGCACCCTCAGATTCCAGATTTTCAAACACTACCCTTTCCTAACAAACCACACATCAATGAAAAGCTTATTTATTCAGCTTCCAGATGATGTATTAATCTCAATTTTAAAAAATCGACCCTTATGACTGCTTTTGTGCTCCAGGGTCACATATGAAGTGATCTCAGACTTGCCTCCTCTGGAACATGACGACTTTATCAGCCTTCAGGTCGTCGAGCTCCAGCTTGCGTCCCTTCTCAATGACGTCCGGATGCTTGCGGACCAGCAGCCAGCCGATGTGAGAGAAGAAAAAGCCTCGCACAGCGTTGTGAGGGTCGGCGTCCGTCTCGGAGTATTTGTGGTGAACGCGGTGATCTCGAGACCATTCGTAGATGTCATTCTACAGAGAGAGCAGGAGATGAAGAAGCGCCTCATTTCTACACTACTAATGAAAAAGACTGCAACTCTGCTTTGTGCCACTAGCAGCACACAAATGACACACTACATCTGGAACACAAAAATACATGGAAGCCCATTTCTGCCACTAAATAAAAAAGCTAATTGTGACTTTTTTCTAGCAATTCTGACTTCTTTTCTCAATTTTGTGAGATGTAAACTTGCAATTGCGAGTGATGAAGTTCAATTCTGAGGAAAAAAAGACACAACTGCAAGTTTATATCTCACAATTCTGACTTTATAAACTTGCAATTGTGAGGAAAGTCAGGATTGTGAGATGCAATTACCTTTTCTATTTTTTGTGAATAGATGGAAATGACGGAAATCAAATGTACAAATAATAAACTTCATAGAAAGCGAACAGCGTCGAACGTTTCTTACAACTTTTACAGGTTCACTAGCAGTCAAATGTTTAATCCAGGGTTATTCTAGTTAATACAATAAACGTTAACTGAAATAAAATAAAAATTAAAAATTAAAATTAAATTAAATTTTAAAAAAATAAATTAAATTTTTTTTTTTTTTTTATTAAATTAAATTAAATAATTTCGGCTAGTGCCAAGGAAACATCTAATTTTTGTTTAGTTTAAGTTATTAAATTAGCTACAACAAAATAAATAAAAATTAAGAAATACTATATATACATAAAAAACTAAGAAAAATGACAAAAAGTAAGAAAAATTCAAAACACAACAAGTATAACAGTATATAGCACTGATACTAAATTAAAACTGGCTTGAACACGCATGACGGAATGTTTCTCATGATCTTAAAAACGTTCCGATCTAAAAGCTTCTGCTGAAATGCTTGGAATTGAGATGATTTTGTATAAAAGAGGCTCAAATATAAGAGAGATTTCATTTGCATCATGTTTGAATCATTCCCAGACTTACATTTGCGTGATTTCAGAGTTTGCATCACTCTACCTTGATTCTAACATGAGGAAACGCGTCAGAATGAAGAGTGAGATGAGCCTAAACTCCTGACTGCGGGCCTCTCAACTCTATACTGACGTTTGTTACGTACGTTAAATCAAACCGTCGTGCAGATGGCGAGGTCTGTACGGAGACGGGTTCGTTACCTGGAAGGCCATGGAGTTTGCGAAGGCGAGAAAGATCTGGAGCGGTAATGATGCTTTATATGATCTGTGACTCCAGAGTCTGTGAGCGCCGGCGGTGATGCCCATAGCACTGAACAACCAGCATGCACAAACTGAAAAACACAAACATACGCCATCCATCATATACAGATGCAAATGACTTTCAAATGTACTACTTAGACCCACAAAACTTCCATTTTTAATGCACATACATGAAGTCTCAATCACTCACAGTTCAATACACCTGGATTTCATGCATCTTTTTTTTTAATGCATTTTTGGGCAAATAAATGTGACCCTGGAGCACAAAATCAGCCAAAGGGGTCAATTTTTGGAAATTGAGATGTATGCATCATCTGAAAGCTGAATAAATAAGCTTTCCAATGATGTATGGTTTGTTAGGATCGGACAATATTTGAAAATCTGGAATCTGAGGGTGCAAAAAAATCTAAATATTGAGAAAATCATCTTTAAAGTTGTCCAAATGAAGTTCTTAGCAATGCATATTACTAATCAAACATTAAGTTTTGATATATTTACGGTAGGAGATTTACTAAATATCTTCATGGAACATGAAATGCACATTCACCAACTTTTTTGCGGTCTGATTCTCTTTCACCTAATATAGTTTTATTTGAAGTACTCCTGAGATTTTAAAACAAATATTTTAATAACGAAGTATCACATTTGCATGCTCATTGGTTCTCTGACATTGGTTACGGTCACATGTCATGCAGGTAAACAAATAAAATATTAAATTTTTTCAGTAAGTATTTTGTTTTAATTCATTTCAAAATTGTCAAATTGTTTCAATTTGAAATTTGTAAGATTTAATTAATTATTAGCTTTTAACTCGTAAACCCCCTGCAGTTTCTTCACAAACCCAGTTTGGGAAACTTTGACACAATGTAATGTTTAATGCACTTCGTGTTGTTGACAACGAATGGAATATATTTTCTTACTCTTTGTATTTTTATATCAGTATGGTACAAGATTATCCTACACGAATCAATGGGGAAAACGAGATGGGTCAAAAGTAATCTAAAAGTAGTGATTACGTTACTAACATTTTTGTCATGTAATTTGGAATTAGTAATGCATTACAATTTATAAGTAATCTACCCAGCTCTGCTAGCCAATGAGATTTTATTAAATGAATAAAGAGTGAATACAAATTTAATTTGCACATAATCGTCTAATATGATGAGCTGGATGTCATTAGGACTAATTGTGTGTATTAGAGCATTTCAAAATGAGATTGAAGAAGATTACAACACAAAGCAATTGCACGCCTTCAAAAGTCTTTATATGCAGCTTGACGGCCCTGGTCTCCATTCAGCTTTATTGTTTGGAAAAGCGCAGTGGGAACATTCTTCTAAGCATCTCCTTTTGTGTTCCACGTTAGTATGAAGTGAGTATGTTAAGCAAATCATGACAGAATGTTAGTTTTTGCATGATTTATAGAGGGGTTATGCGTTAAAAAAAAAGAAAGAAAAGTGCATGATACTTACACCAGATCAATGTGAGAGCACTTGCAGACGGAAGCAGGACGAGTCCATACAGAGCTCCGATGTGCAGCAAACTCATGAGAATGACATTTCTCCACACTACGACGGTGACAGGTTTGGGCCCTTCTTTCTCTTTATATGTGTGATCAAACACGTCCTCCGTGGTCTCCGGTTCTGGACGCCAGATTGGAGATTTGATTTCCCTGTCAGGCATGATGAGCACTGCCAACACACACACACACACACAGACAGACAGAGACAGAGACACACACACACACACACACACAGACAGAGAAAAAGA